GTTCCTGAGCAGAGGTGTCGGGGGCCGTTGACTCCTGTGCTCGGTGGGCTCATTTCTCCAAGTGTAAAAACTAAAAAGGAAATGCAAAAATAAGTTAATGATCTTTTTCACTTCACTGGAAAATGCTGAAGTTCATATTCTTCCCAGTTTAGATCCATCCTCCACCCCCCCCTCCATTCTGATGTGTTGGAATGTTCTGACTCTCTCCAAGAGACTCCCCAGGACCAGCAGGGTGGTATTTCCCAGGAGCCTCCATGGCTGTGTAATTTGCATACACCATTTTTATCAAAGGAAAATAAATGCGCACAACCATCTGTCTCCCTGCATCCCTGTCTCGTCCTTGCCTGCCTCGCCTCAGCTGGGGCATTCCCAGTTCCCCAGGAGGATTAATCCATGCTCTGCCCTGTGCTCACCTCGAGCGGATAGCGGGGGCGTCTGCTCCCTCCCCACTTGGCCCCTTCTGCTGCCTTCCCCTGTGGCAGGAAACGTTTCGGACACTTCAGGAATGCTGCTGAAGGTTCCCAAACTCTGGCTCTAAGTGTGCCTATTTGAAAGCTTCCTTTCAATTAGAATCAGCAATTAGCAACCCTTGGAACTGCTGTGAGCTGGGAGTTAGTGTTATTTGGTACTTTTAAGTTTCTTTCAGTGTGGGAGGATTGGGCAGTGAGAGGGAACAGGAGGAGTCCCCGCGCTGCTTTCTGCATACCTGTAAAACCTGCTGCACCCAGGGGCTCCTGAGCTGGAGCTGGGCTCGATGGGTGCTTGTATTGCTGAGAGTGTAGGTGGTGGTGGAGAAAACATGTGAGTGTGCGAGCTGGAAATGCTCCTGCCTGTGTGTGTGTATCCCAACTAGACTGGGATCCCTTGGAGGAGGATTTGGAAAGCAGCTTTAACCTCTTCTGGAGGCTGTGCACAGATCTGTGGATTGCTTTGTGCAACCTCTCCTCAGACATGGGAATTTTGCGCAGAGCTGTGTAGGGATGGGAGCTGGAGGGGTTGGAGCTCTTCCCAGATGTCGCTGATCAGCCCCTGAAATGGGCTCCTGAAAAGGCCTGCGATCCTTGTGATCTCTTGGATGTCCCTTGCTGGCATTAAGGTCTCTGTCCCTGCACATGCCAACGCTTGCTCCTGGGAGGATGGATGGGGCAAGCAGGGAAGGGGGAGAACAAAGGGAACACAGGGGGTCAAAGGGAGACATACCCCCATGGCGTGTGTGAACCTCTGAGGAGCAAAACTAGTCTCAACCCTGTTGTGTCTGGACAGGCAGAAACAGTCCTTCCACCCCCCCCTCGGTGTCAGCAAGGTGTGACTCAGTGGTGTCAGTGTGACACTGGTGTCAGCCACCCCAGTGTGAGGGGATCTGGGGTGAGGGATCCACCCATGCCTGAGGGATCTCTGTGTGTGTGAGGGATCTGTGTGTGTGAGGGGGTTTGTGTCTGAACAGGGACTTTGAGAGATGGACGGATCCAGTGAGTCCAAAGCTGGCTGGAAATAAATCCCTGTGTGGTGGAGAGATCCTGCTGCAGTGTGGGCAGATGGCTGTGAACCACTGAGGAGAGTCCAGAGCAGCCTGAGAATCACGGAATGGTTTGGGTGGGAAGACACCTCACAGCTCATCTCGTTCCATCCCCTGCCATGGGCAGGGACACCATCCACTAGACCAGGTTGCTCCAAGCCCTGTCCAGCCTGGGCTTGACTTCCAGGGATCCAGGGGCAGCCACAGCTTTTCTGGGCAACCTGGGCCAGTGCCTCACCACCCTCACACCCTCACCCTCCTAACATCTCATCTCAGTCTCTTCCAGTTTAAAACCATTCCCCCTTGTCCCATCACCTTCTGCCTGTGTAAAAAGTCTCCGTCCATTGCTTTCACAAGTTCCCCTTAAGTCCTGAAAGGCCATGATGAGTCCTCACAGGCTGTTCGTTCAGTTCTTGGTGTCTCTTGCTTGTTTAAGCAGGAAAACACATTTCTCCTGTCTCTCCATTCCTCACCTGCTGCCAGCCCACCAGCCAAGATGCTAAAATAGAGACACAGAGGAGCCTGCAACCTCTTGCATCCATCTGATGCCACCTCCCAGCTCTCCACCCTCCCCCAACAGCCTGGAAAGGCTACCTACTCCGTACTGCTCCCAGGGGCTTCGTTGTGCTGCTCATGGGGAAGGAAAGTTGGGAGGGAAGGGCCTGTGGTTTCTCTGGTGTTGCTGTCAGGAGAATGGGACCATGGGGTGGGACACGGTGGGGATGAGACCAGAGAGCTTGGAGGTGTGATGGTGCAGCCACTCCAGCCATGGTTACCCCCAGAGGATGGGGGGTTTGGCCCTTGATACCTGCAGGGGATGGGGGGTCTGGCCCTTGGTACCCATAGGGGATGCAGGTCTGACCTTCCCAGCTCTGGAAATAAAGGTGCTTTGAAGGCTGATGCGAAGGAGCCTTTTAGTGAAACCTTAATCCCCTCTAGAGCTTTCCCCAGTCCCTGGTAAGGTGCTGTTCAAAAGCCCACTTCCGAAGGAATGACCACACTTTCTTGCTCCCATATCCCTCCTTCCCAAAAGAATTACCTAAAGGTGTTCTCACTGATTTTTTTTCCTCTTATTTTACTCCAATAAATAGAATTAATACTTTCAAAATATAATGGAGGGAGCAATTTCCACAGCAAGTAGTGGTGAATCCAGTTGATTGACTGGGAGAGATTTCTGCTGTCAAGGACGTATTTTCACTTCATTCCTTCCCCCCTTCCCTGGAGCAGATCTGCAGCCTTTTCCCACAATATCCCAATGTAACACTTCCAACTTCAAAATCAAACCTCTGAAATGTGGAGGAGGGAGGGATTGCAGGAAACCAACATCTACATTGCTTTCAAGAAACCATTTTTTTATTATTAAGATCCACGAGAGAGGTGGTTTCCTGCAGCTACAGCCCTTAGTATGGTGTGGCAAGTTCAAAGTATCCCAAGAGAGGGTCAGTAGGGAAATATCCTGGGATTAGGAGGTCATGGAGTGGGATAGCTTGGAAAATATATATATGTGTGCATATGGAGCTGCTGCAGCACCTTTGCTCAGCCACAGGAGCCATGAGGAAAGACTGAACAATGCTCCTTGGCCTCTCCGCTCAATTCTGCAGCATTTTGGAGCAGAAAACAATGATTTAGAGCTTGGGTGGGCCATGGCCAGCCTGGGTGGCTCCCTGCAGCAGGACCCAACCATGGCACATTCAGGGCCATATTCATGTTGCTCTGCCTTGGTTTATTTTTAATTCCTCTAGCAAGATGACACCTGGTTCCCAGTCCCTGCCTGGCCAGTGCTGCCTGCGTTTCACTGGGGTTTGCTGGGGGTGTTCCCAGCTCGCAGGGCCGACTGTGCTGGAGCCAGCACTGCCCACCAAAGGAGGTAACCAGTTCCTGGGGCATGACAGAGACTGGGATTTGTTGTTTGCTCCCTCTGAGATTGGAAACAACAAAATCACAAGTCTTCCAGGCTGCCCCAGAGCTGACAGAGGAAGGGTGGTCCAGAGACACTCACCAGAGCTGTCCCGGGACAGAGGAAGGGAGAAGGGAGGCATTTTGGCACGTGCCCTTCCCTCCAGGTCTGCTGGGCCTCTGTGTGGTCCCACGTTAGGATCAGGCCTGGCTGGTGCCCCTGAGCTGGCACCCCTGAGCTGGCACCCACAGGTCCACCAGGAGCTGTGTCACCCACGAAGCCCAATGGATTTCTAATGTGCACTGGGAAAGGGTCCAGGGTGCCCGAGGGGCTTTGCAGCCCTTGGCTGCTCCTGGCAGTAGTGACACAAGGCCAGTGGTTGTCCCCAGTGTCCCCCCTGTGTTAGTGACGGGGCTGAGCCTGAGCTTTGCCCCCATCTCCTGCCCAGGACAGCTCCAGCCTGGCTCTGCTGAGGACAGATGAGAAGCCCCCCTGTTCCCCACGCTGCCCTGGGAAGGGGTTCTGCTTTTGGTAGATTTTGCAGTGCTGCGACCTTGCATCGTGCCCTGCTCCTGTTCCTGTTTCCCTGGCTGTCCTGGTGGGAACATCCCCAGCCTCGTTGTCTCCGTTTCCCTGCCCATGAGCCACATCTGGAGTGCAGCTGTGAGATGGCTCCTCTGCAAAAGTTATTGCTGCTCTTTCATCCCAGCAAAGAGAGCAGAGAGTGGTGAAGGTAAAAGTGGCTGAGGCTGCTGCCCTGTGGGCTCTGGGCTGCTGCAGGTTCCCACCTTGGTGCTGCCCTGGAGATAAGCCCCCAGTTATCAAGGGGAGCAGAAGAGGGGAAACAAAGCATGAGGAAAAGCAAGAGGGACGCCAGGGCTGCCGTAGGGGAGGGGATGTCCCTTGATCCCTCAATGCTGCTGCCACGTGCAAGGGCTCCAGCAGAGCCAAGTGTGGAGCTGCTGCCTTTGCTGTGTGTCTGTGGAGGCACACACTCCACCATGCAGCTCACACCCCACGTGCTCATTCCCATATCCGTGTCCCCTGTATCCCCACGTTCCCATATTGTGTATCCCAGTCCTTGTATCCCCCTGTTCCCATGTCCCTGTGTCCATCTATCCCCACGTTCCCCTGTACTCGTATGTGTTGTATCCCCCTGCTCCTGTATGCCCATACTCCCATATCCCCTGTCCCTGTATCCCCGTGTCCCATATCCGTGTATCTTCCTGCTCCCGTATCCCCATGTTCCCATGACCCCATATCGTGTATCCCCGTCCCTGTATCCCCCTGTTCCCATGATCCCGTGTCCACGTATCCCCACGTTCCCCTGTACCTGTATCTGTGTATCCCCCTGTCCCTGTATTCCCGTATCTCCATATCCGTGCATCCCCACACCCCCGTACTCCCACGTTCCCATATCCCCATATCCAGTGTCCCCCCATTCCCGTGTCCCGCCCCCTCTCCGGGCTCTTTCCCGCTCCCCGCCCCCTCTCGCGCACGCGCAGAGCCCCTTCCCGGCAGGCCCCGCCCCCGGCCGTGACCCCGCCCCCGGCCGTGACCACGCCCCCGGCCGCGTGCGCGGGCCGCGCTTCCGGGGAGTCCCCCCGGGCCCCCAGGAACCCCCAGGGACCCTCCGAGACCCCCCCGGGCCCCCCCGGGGCTCCCCGGGACATGAGCGCTCCGGGACCGCCGGGCCGCGGGATGCGCTTCGCCGAGACCCAGCTGCGGCGGCACGGCTGGCGCCGAGGTGGGGCCGGGCGGGGGTCCCGGGGCGGGAGTTCCCTGGCTGTCCCTCCGTCCCTGGGACCCCCCCTGAACGCCCCGCGCTCCGCCCAAGCCCCAGAACTCCCCGGACCCGGCTTCCCCTGCCAAGCCCCGGGACGCCCCAGACCCGGCTCCCCTCAAGCCCCGGGACCCCCCAGACCCCGCTCCCCCTGCCAAGCCCCATCCCCCTCCATGTCCCCCCCAGCGCCCCGTTTTCCCCTGCCAGGCCCCAGCTCCCTCCAGCTCCCGGCTCCCTCCAGTACCCAGCTACCCCCCGGGACCCTCCAGGCCCCAGCTCCCCACCCCAGGCCCCGGTGGTCCCCAGCCCTCCCCGGCGGCGGGTGATGAGTGGCTGTGTCGGCAGGGCAGGGGCTGGGCAAACGGCAGGACGGCATCGCCGAGGCCATCCGGGTGAAGATGAAGTGTGACACGGCGGGGGTGAGTGCAGCCCCCCCTGCCCGGCCGGGGCCCCGCGCCCACCGCCGGCCGCGGTCATTCTGGCGGCTCCTCTGCACCCCGCAGGTGGGACACGACGCGGCGGAGCCCTTCACCTTCCACTGGTGGGACCACGTCTTCAACAAGGCGGCTGCCAACATCGCTGTGGAGGCCGGGCAGGTGGGAGGGCTGGAGGGGCACCCTGCTCAGACAAGGGTGGAAAGCAGGGGAGGGGGTTGAGGTCCCTTTGGTGGTCCTTGTGCTGCCGCTGTGTGTGTGTCCCCACAGCCCCTCTCAGCACAGGGACCATGGTGGCAGAGACGTGCTGCTAGAGGGGTGAAGCCCCTTGGGCAGATCGTTCCCGAGCCCTTTGTCTCTCCCCTCCAGGATGGCATCTCCGTGAAGGCGCTTTCTGAGCAGGGAGGCGGGATCAGCAATAAGAAGCCGTGCAAGGTCGGCGGCACCAGGGACCTGCTGTACGGCCGCTTCGTGAAGGTAACCGGCCCTGGGATGTGGCTCAGAGAGCAGCTGGTGTCTCTGCAAAGGCTGTGGAGAGCTCTGCACCCCCCTTCCAGCACAGCCTCCAGCTTATTGCTGCTGTGTCCCCCTTCCTCACGGCCCCTCTGTGTCCCTGGTGCAGTCGGCCACACTCACAGCCTGTGGGGAGGAGTCCATGACGCTGCCCACTGGCTCTGAGAGCAGCGAGGAGGAGGAGAAGCTGGACCTCTCTTCAGCCAGGAGGCAAGGCTGAGCCCCATCTCCGCAATGGGGAGAGATGAGGGCTGCGAGGGGCAGCCCCGGTCTGAACCGTGCCCCTGCCACACTGCTGGGGGGTGACACGTCCTCTCTGTGTCCCGCAGGCTGACGGACGAGGAGCTGGTGCAGGCGTGTGGGGGGCCGCACGGCACACAAGTGAGTGGCTGGGGGGGCTGCATGGCCGAGCTGGGGGGCACGTTTCCTGCCCAGGGAGATGCCAGATCCCACTGCCTGTGGTCGTTGCAGGGGTGCCCGTCACGGCCTGACCATGAGTGCCAAGCTGGCGCGCCTAGAGGAGCAGGAACGAGCCTTCCTGGCCATGTACCGGCACAAGGAGCGGCAGCAGGAGCTCCTGAAGAGCAGCCCCCTGGCAGAGAGCCAGGGCAAAAAGAAGAAGAAAAGGAAAAAGTCCAGGGACAGAGCTGACCCTGAGGTGCCCCAGAGCCAGGAGTCAAATGGGGAGGAGGAAGAGGTATCAGGAAAAGAAGTGAAGGTTGTGAAGAGGAAGAAAAAGAAGATCCGGGAACCAAGTGGAGAAGAGGAGCTGATGGGAGAGGGAGAGAAGGTCATGAGGAAGAAGGTCACAGAGCCATGCGGAGAAGAGGAGGCATCAGGAGAGGAGGGGAAAGTCATGAAGAGGAGGAAGAAGCCAGAGGCACACACAGAACAAGAGGTGGCAGAAGAGGAGGGGAAAGCTGCAAAGAGGAAAAAGAAGAAGAAACAGAAGCAGGAGGAGGAGGAGGACAAAGAAGAGCCAGCTGAGACAGACATACCTCTAGAAGGCACAGGTGAGCCAGACCTGGGACACAGCCCCAGGAAGAAGAGAAAAAAGAAGAAAAGGAAGAGGGAGCCAGAGTGAGTAAGTGCCACAGCTGCTGTGTTGAGCAGCTGCCAGTCCCACCTTGCTGCGAGGGTTCTGATCCTGGTGCTGGTGGGTGCCCAAGGGTGCTCCAGGCTCGTCCCAGACAGAGCCCAAGCACTGTGGCTCAGCCTGGGAATGCTGGGCTGGGCTGGGTTGGTCTGGAGCTGGATCGACCTTTATTTCACTTCCTGAGCCTTCGCTGGTCAGGGGTGACCCCAGTTCCCCCCAGGCCCTGGGGCAGGGACCCATTTGCTGTGGGCTCGTCGCAGAAGGACACAAGGGGACAGACCCTGCAGCATATTGAAGTATTTTTTCAAGAGCACAAATAAATCTTTATTGCAGTGAGACCACCATGAAGTGTGAGTGGTGCAGGAAGCAGCAGAGCCCAGGATCCCAGATCACTTGGATCAGGCAGCAACCCCAAACAGAGCCCCCCCCCAGCAGCCCCCCATCACTCCCACCTCCTGGGCCTTTGGTCTGCAGTGACCTTTGATCCTGCTGGGTTGAGCTGAAGCCCAGCAAGGTGCTGAGCACCCTCCCAGCAGAGGCTTGGGCAGAATTGGGCCCTGATGTGCAGTACTGAAGCTGAGCCCAGCCCCTGTGGCCCTAGCCCTATGTGAGCTGCAGGACACAGTCCGTGCCAGGGTACGCTGGCAGGTTTAGAGCATATTTCTCCTGCAGCGCGGGGGGCACAAACCTGCCCCCGAGGAAGTGGTACCGCCCGGCAAAGTGCGTCGCCGCCTTCTTGGGCGCCGTGAGCGAGATGAGCATGTCGGGCTGGAGGCCGTCTGCCTTCCCCTTCTCCACGTCCCAGCCTGCAACGAGCCCCATGGCTGGGCTGGAGCTGGGACCACCCTGGCTGGGCACCTTCCTCCAGGGGTTGCGGCCGTTACTCACCCGAGGGGATGTCGATGCTGGCGATGGGCACTGTGACGCGCTCCAGGGTGCTGAGGATGCTGCCGAAGGGCTCCCGCACTGCCCCCTTGAAGCTGAATCCAAAAATCGCGTCCACCACCAGGCCGTAGAGCTCGTCAATGAATGCAGCCTGCATCAGGGATGGCAGCAGGTGAAGGGCAGCCCTGGGCACTGCTCCCGAGCCAACAACTGCCCCTCACCTCAGTTGGGAATTCTGGGAGGAAGGGGATGTCCATCTTCTCGCACTGGGTGGTCAAACCTTCAAAGAGGGGCTTGCTGGGGCGCTTGGGGTAATACACGGTGGGCAGGTAGCCCTACAAGAGCATGAGGAACCTGAACTAATCCTGCTCTGGCACCAGCAGCAGCCAGAGGAACAGGACCCCAAAGCCTGCAGTTACAGGGGCACATGGGCATTGGCAGCCTCACGGGGAGTGTGCAGAGACTCACAAACATCTTCAGGTGCCGGGCACAGACCAACCCATCGCCGCCGTTGTTCCCCGGCCCGCAGATCACGAGCACAGCGGGCTGGCTTGTCGTGAAGGAGCTGGGTGGGTAGGCCTGGTAGGAGATGTGAAGTTATGGTGGGAAAGCAAGGCCACACCACGGAACCAGGACTCCCACCTGCCTCCCACGATCCCAACCTTGGTGCTGCCACAGCTCTTCCCATGGCACTGGGACCCCACCCTAGGACTCTTCCCAGGATCCCCACTTGCCTCCCTGGTGTCCACCTTGGCAGTGGCACAGCTCAGTCCACAGTGCTGCGACCCCCCAGAACCCCTACCTTGGTAATGGCAGTGGTGCAGCTCAGTCCACAGTGCTGGGACTTCCCCCCCCAGTACCTTCAACTGCCTCCTGGGCTCCCACCTTAGCAGTAGCACAGCTCAGCCCACGGTGCCAGGACCACCCTCGGGATCCCCCCTGTTCCCGAGGGCCCCCACCTTGGCAGTGACACAGCTCTGCCCACGGGACTGGGACCTCTGTAGAACTCTTCCCAGGATCCCCACCTGCCCCCACCTTGGTGGTGGCACCCCACAGGACCCCCCCTGCCCCTCAGGACCCCCACCTTGGCAATGGCAGTGGCACAGCTCAGCCCTGCCAGCTCCATCAGCTGGTCCACGCTGAACTTGTACTCAGTGAAGAGCTCCTGGTCGATGGCCTGGGCCTCCTCCTGCCTGGGGGGAGGAGAATGGCACCCCTGGGGACCCCGACACTCAGCCACCCACAAGGTCTGCAGGGCTGGAGGCTGCTATGATCCCCTCGACTCTGTATGAGCCATGGGGGGACACACAGGGTCCAGCTCCCCATGCTGAGCCCCCCCGTGTATATCTGCACCCCAACCTCAGGTCCTGCCCGATCCCTTTGCACCTCTCAGCTCCCCCATATCCCGTCCTCCTCGACCCCTTACCCCACCCCTGTGCCCCCTCCACTCTGCCCGCCCCCCCCGTACCCTGCGGACCCCCAGAACCCCCCGCCCGCTCTACCACCCCCTCCTTCCCCCCGCGCCTCCCCACCCAGCCGTACCCCAGGAAGCGGAGCCCCTTCGGGCCGGGCCCCGCGCTGGGCCCGTGCATGGCGCGGCGGGGGGGGCACCGGCCCCACTCCCGGCCCTGACCCCAACCCAGACCCCAACCCCAGCCCCGGCACCGCCCGCCCGCCCGCGCCGCTGCCACGAGCAGCCCGAGCCCCAGCAGCGCCCTCGGGCCCGGCATGCGGCGGGCACGGCCCGGAACGGCTCGGGACGGCCCGGAACGGGGCGCGGAGCTCGGAAGGAGCAGGCGCGGGGCCGCCCCGGGGCGGAGCGACCGTCAGCGAGCGCCCGGGCGGGGCCGTGCAGAGCCCTCGGTCTCTCCCCACGGCGGGACTCGGCCGTCCGTCCAGCCCCCTCCGCCCTCTCCAGTCCCCTGGGGACCCTCGCGGTCCCTCCAGCCCCCGTCTAGGACCCCGCGGTCCATCCATCCCCTCCTTCCACTCCAGTCTCCCCCGGGACCCCCACGGTCCCTCCAGCCCCCTCCTTCCCCGCCAGTCCCTCTCGGGACCCCGCGGTCCATCCAGCCCCCTTCTCCCCCTCCAGACCCCATCCAGGACCTCGCCGTCCCTCCAGTCCCTCTCTAGGCCGGGACCTCGTGGTCCATCCAGCCCCCTCCTCCTCCTTCAGTCCCCTCAGGACCCCGCGATCCCTCCAGTCCCTTCATTCTCCTCACTGCCAGACCCTGGCCTGGAAAGGATGGCAGAAACAGAGTGGGGGCAAAACCGTGTTTGCTCAGTGGGCCCCCCCGCTCCAGCTTGGGGCTGTCCCTCCCAAGAAGTGGCATCTCCCACGTGTCCTGCTGGTCACACAAGGTTGCAGACAAGGGACAGTGTCTTGGTCCCTCTTTGAGGTTCCCGGCGGGGCCAGCAGCTGGTGACAGTGGCAGTAGGGTCATGGCCAGGGCTGCGAGATCACAGAGGCATCACAGGTTGTGGGGGTGTCCAGCGGGATGCAAAATGGAGTTATGGAATCATAGACTGCTTTGAGTGGGAAGGAACCTTAAATCCCATCTTGTCCCACCCTCCTGTCATGAGCAGGGACACTTTCCACTAGACCAAGTTGCTCCAAGCCCCACCCAACATGGCCTTGCACACTTCCAGGGATGAGGCAGCCACAGCTTCTCTGGGCAACCTGTGCCTCACCACCCTCACAGCCAAGAATTTCTTCCCCATATCCCATCTAACCCTGCCCTCTGGCAGTGGAAAGCCATGTCCTGTCACTCCAGGCCCTTGTCCAAAGTCCCTCTCCAGTCCTCCTGAAGCCCCTTTAGGCAGTAGCAGGCAGGAGGTTCATACTGGGGTGCTGGAAACCACCCTCAGATCTACTGCCCCATCCACAGGGTAGGGTTTGATGTTGGCTGCAAGGTGTCAAAATCCCCAGGCCCTGTGATTTTTGGCTTGGAGACTTGTCCATTGCAAGGATCAGGGGTGTCCCAAGCCCTGGTGGGGGTCTCCACCCCTGAACCCTCCTCTCAGAGGACGCCCTGGAGCCCAAACCTCCTGTCTGCTCCCTTGTCCACTCTCCCAGGGCATCACCTACCGCTCCAGAGGCCTTGGCTGGAGGGTTTGGTGGTCACGATGCCCTGTGGAACACAGTGTGAGACCTGCAGCCCTGGGCTCTCCACAGAAGTGACACTCTGGTTGTGTTCCATACTTACATGGCTGGAGGTCTGTGTGGGGTGGTGGGGCCAGGCACAGGGGGGTGGTCCTGTTACTGGCAACAACGTGCAGCTCATGTGGGGGTGACAGAGAGCATCTGTGACACAAACTCTCCCCATCCCATCGTGACTGAGCCCTCCCCAGGTTCCAGCTGGAAGTACCCCAAACCCACTCCCCAGAATTACGGATCTTTAAAAATCTCTGGATATTCCCCATTAACCAGGAGAAGTCCCCAGAGAGACACCACTCATTGTGCTACATCTGCTGCAGGGGTATTTGGGTACCAGGGGCTGTACTGGGGTGACTCCCTCTCACCCACCTACCTGTTAGCCTGGGGCTGACTCGGACACTCTGGAGCCACATCAGGACCACCCTCATCCTCCCCAGAGGTGCTCAGGATGCTGTGTGGGTTGCAGGGCTCCAGCGCAAGGCCATCAGTCAGGGCCACTCCTCTGCCTCCAGGGAGGAAGGACGAACAGGCAAGAGCAGAGTATCAGACTGTGTTGAAGCCTCAGCTCCAGCAGGAATCTCCTGGATGGCTCAATCCTGCATTTAGTTCTAACCCTCTCACCTGAATGCTTGGGATGTGCTCCCGGCACACACATGTAGAGGTGGTCCTGGGCTTTCCCTCCAAAGGACCTGGAGTGAAGGAAGGAAGGTTTGTCTCCTGGGTGATGCTGGGAACTCATCCCAGAGGAATGAGGGAGAGGACAGCAGCTTTCCTACTCACACCTCACTCCTCTGGACCTGTGTCCCGCTGGCCTGGGGCAGCATGGAGCAAAACCGCAGCTGGCTGAGCTCCTGGTGGGATGGAGGGATGGCTGGGGCTCATATGTGTGTCCCTCTGCCCACCAAACCTGGGCACCTCTTGCCACCAACCCCTACTGGGGTCTCAGCCCCCAGCCCGCCTGTGTGTCCCACACCCAGGGTGATGCTCACCAGAGCTGGGGTGGGCACTCGGCCCCCACGGTGGGAGAGGCGGCCACCGAGGCAGAGCCGGTGCTGGATGGCATCCATGAGCTTGTGCACAACCCACTCTCGGGCAGCTCTGGGGGCGTCCTGTGGTGGACAGAGCCCACATGGATGATGGGTTGAGTGGGTCTGTCCCCAGGGCTGGGGCACCCGTGATGCACAGCAGAGTCTGGCCCTGGAGGTTCCCCAGTGTGTCCTACCTGGCAGTGGGAAAGCAAAGTCAAGGCCTCCTCGTAGTGCCCGATGGCTTTCTGCGGGTCTCCCAGGTGGAAGC